CATTACGTACTTCGTCGCAAACCCGGCCTTGGTATTCGGATCGCAGCAGCGCAAAGTATACGATGGCAGCTTCAGTGCGTAAATCAATGAGACGGGTAAAAATAATGTTTAAAAATCTGTTTAAAGCGCGCGAAGCTTCGCACAGTGGTGTACTATTTAAAATCGAAGCCGGGATCCTGTAAGCCAAAAATTCTATATCGACTATTTATGCAATTATTTTCTAACATTGGATCGCTTCAGGCCTGTATTGGCGTGCTCACCCGCATCTTACATGCCAATCGGTCTAATCTATATAAGTGTGTTAATACTTGCCTGATTCTGAATTTAATCTTACTTTCTGCAACCGTTAAATCTAAAAATTTTACTACGGCAACCACTGCTGAAAAGATTTCAGCCGCGTTCAATTTTCGCGTTTGAATGGTTTTGACAAAATGAATAGGGCCTAAATTCAGTATTAAACCAGCAGAATATCAATCATATCCGAAAATAAGCTTACATTTTTATAACAAAATTGCTTTGTGCGCTGGCTTCACGATGCTGTTCCATTCATTAAGGATCACTTAGCCCTTTTAGTTGTCGAGATACCAACATTTAATCATCAAGGCAAATTAGGCTATCTCATCAAAAGCGCCAGAATAAAGCAACTGGCATACCTTTGGATCCTTGAGGAATTCCCAGACAAGATGGCATATTTTTCTCAAAATGAGAAAGAAAATGGGCACAAAAAATTTTGAAGAAAGATTTTGCTATAAAAAGGCAAAAGATTTCGCAGTAAAACAAGCTTGGGAAACTTGAAATTTGTTTGAGGCTGCTGATACATAATTTAATTCTACATCGATTATTTTGCAAAGTCTTTTGCTACCGTAGCCAACCTGCCGAAATGCTACTCGCGGTAAATTACACAAAACACGCACCCGCCTGGTATTAGCCTACCTGCAGCGATTAACGGCAACGAATCTCGACAAATCCGTTAGAAGGGCTAGAAAAAAAAAGAACTACATATTCTTGATCCCTGAAGAATCTCCGGACAAGATGGCATCCTTATTGAAAAACAACAAAAATGGCAATGTAAAAAATTTTGTCGAGAAATTCAGTGAAATGATACACAAAAATCTTTGAATATTAGGATCGCAGAAAAGTGCAGGTGCAGGCTGCCATACAGCAATCTCTTGGTATAGCGGCGTAGTTTAGTTAATTCTCGTGATAGATGACACTATGGATACCGTTTTTGAATGAATACGACAATATAAAAATTAATTTTGAACCATTTTCCCATGGACAGTGGCATTTCCAATAAAGTTTATGTGCAGGATTAAATAAAGGAGCAACGGATGTTGCGCGCTAAGTTCTTCGTTTGGAAACAAATAAAACGATAAAAATTCATAGTCAAAGATATAAAACTACCTTATTCAAACATGGTAAATACACCCAAACCCTAAATTTTACCGTACGCCATTTCAAATTACGCCAAAGACAATAAATACAATTATATAATTCTTTTTGGCGAACCTTGAACAAACAAAACGACGTACCAAATGCAACAGTCGAGCAAAATCATCTCAACGCTTCAACCACTACCAACACCAAAATCCAAATCTCAACTTCTGCGCCACTATAAAACCAGAATGAATAACAGAATAGTAAGTAAATATGCAAAATATTATAGAACCGCCAAACATACATACGCCTTGGAACTGTCCTGGTTGACATCCACCCCGCAATTAAAAACATAATCCCCAAATACACCCCTCCACCAGTACCACGGAACCTCTCCAGCTGGTCCTGTTTCTGATTACTAACTTGACCATCTCAGGATGGCATTTTCAACATTCATCCAACAACGGGCGCCATTTTACGTAAATGAAGCGGCGCTACATACATAAATTAAATTAATTATTCTTACAGGATCCATAAAAACTTCCATTTAAGGCACGGTGCGAAGGTAGCGGTAGAAGTGACTCCCATTTAAGGCACCGTACAATTTAGTGCAAGAACGGCAGCCCCACGACATAGCGTTCGCCGGCTAAAACAAAAAAACCACAAAATTAGAAGACCATAAGAAAGCATTTTTGTAGGCTACCCGAGGGATAAACCCACAAATTATGTATGAGAATACATACATATAAATATCTGGCAATTTGCGGAAAGTTGTCCTGGGCGACATGGCGTTCGCCCAAGCAAAACACTAAAACCAAAATTAGATACAAAACCTAAAAGCACAAAATATACTTTGTAGGTTTCCAGGGATAAACCATATTATGGGATGAAAATTGGGGTAAATCAGCGGCCTATAACCAGCAGAACCTGCTGTCCTATCGATAAAGGCGTTCCAGCCAAATACTAAAAAATCACAAAATTAGCCGATCAAAACATAGCAAAAAGCGCATTTTAAGTTTTCCGTTGATAAACCCACATATTATATATTACGGAAATTATAAAGAATTTTATTCAAGCAATTTGGCGAAAGAACAGTTATCCTACGATTGGCGTTCGCCCGCTAAACACTAAAAACCACAAAATTAGTCGACCGAAAAACACAAAAGGGGCATTTTTGTAGGTTTCCCAAGAGTTAAACCCACAAATTATATATGAAAATTATAAAGAATTTGAATATCTATAATTTGGTGAAGAAACGGTTATCCTACGACATGGCGTTCGCCCGCTAAATACTGAAAGCCACAAAATTAGCCGACCGAAAGACACAAAAATGGCATTTTCATAGGTTTCTCGAGGGATAAACCCACAAATTATACATGAAAATTATAAAGAAATTGAATATCTATAATTTGGTGAAAAAACGGTGATCCTACGACATGGCGTACATCAGCTAAATACTAAAAACAACAAAATTAGCCAACCGAAAAACACAAAAAGGGCATTTCTGAAAGTTTCCCGAGGGATAAACTCACAAATTATACATGAAGATTATAAAGAATTTGAATATCTATAATTTGGTAAAGAAACGGTTATCCTACGACATGGCGTTCGCCCGCTAAACACTGAAAGCCACAAAATTAGCCGACCGAAAGTCACAAAAATGGCATTTTCGTAGGTTTCCCGAGGGATAAACCCACAAATTATACATGAAAATTATAAAGAAATTGAATATCTATAATTTCGTGAAAAAACGGTGATCCTACGACACTTAGCGTACATCAGCTAAATACTAAAACCCCAAAATTAACCGACCCAAGAAAAACACAAAAAGGGCATTTCTGCAGGTTTCCCGAGGATAAACTCACAAAGCTATACCTGAAATTTATAAAAGAGATTTGAATATCTATAATATGAATTTAGCGAAAGAACGGTTATCCTACGACGTGGCGTTCGCCCGCTAAACACTAAAAACCACAAAATTAGCCGACCGAAAAACACAAAAAGGGCATTTTTGTAGGTTTCCCGATGGTTAAACCCACAAGTTATATATGAAAATTATAAAGAATTTTAATATCTATAATTTGTTAAAAGAATGGTTGTCCTACGATGTCGCGTTCGCCCGCTAAACACT